GTGTGTGTGTGTGTGTGTGTGTGTGTGTGTGTGTGTGTGTGTGTGTGAGAGAGAGAGAGTGAGAGAGCGTGTGTGTGTGTGAGAGTGTGTGTGTGTGAGTGTGTGTGTACGTATGCGTGCGTGTGTGTCATATCATACGAGACCGCAAAGCAAACCTTCAGTCTCAACATAATACTACGATATAAACGGTCCAAAGTACAAAGTGTCAAGCTTGACGTGATCTTGACTGTACGTTGTAATCACTTCGAATACTTACTGTTGATGAAAAGAATGCTGGCACAAAAAGTGTACACTGGGTAGTTCCAACGGCCTATTGCACGCTGCGCATCTAGAACTCTGAAAGGTGACAGGTTCGTTCTGCAACATCTGTATTTGGGTTTTCATCTTCTCACTCTCACTTTTGTATTTGGTCGCGAGCTCTTGTTCGCGAGTTATTATATCGTTCTCCGACTTAAGTACATTCATTAGGTATCTGAAAATTGTGCACTAGTTAATTTATGAAAATCAGCATAAGAAGCATAAAAATTGTCAGGCTAAAAGTCATATTTAGGACAAAACAAAAGACGACAACGGGCTGCTTTAAGGCTATACGTGAAAAAAAATCTGAAACTTACTTGCGTACATCTCCAAGAGTGTATGTTGGCGTGCTAGCCAGGCAATCAATGACTAGAATAGGAGAGAGTAGCTTCTCGTTGGCTGCAACAAAATTTTAAGTTAATTTTTGCAAGATTCATTATTTACCTGCCATTTTTAATAAATAATATTCTCATAAAGCTGCGCGAAGTGAGATCAACTTGAAGTGGTCAATGGCTTGATTTGTTGACCAATCAGTTTATCATGAGACAAATATAAAATAGAAATGGTTAATGACTATGACAAGACTGAAATGAAGACCTTTTGCATCCCACATTATAATTAAAGTCTTGCACATTCACATACCCACCCAAATATTAATACAATGTGTACATACGCATAAGCATTCGCAACGTCTCTTTTATCTAACAACACATATTATGAATTTATTTACTTTTGTTAATTTTTATTAAGATCAGTTCATACTGTATGTTAATTTTAATTCTCTCTTAAAAATTTAAATAATTTAACTTAACAAATTATAAAAGTAAGTAGTTGATCGAAATCAGATAATAAGTAATTTAATTCACTTTTACTGTTGATTTACTGTACCTACCTAATGTCTGTAAAACTGAGTTTAACGTAATTGGAACACTACACTTCGCGGAATGGGGACTATTCTATCCAGGCATCAGTCTCTCGCAAACAAGGTTTAATGTTAAAACTCACTAGTCAGTAAGTATTCACATAATTTACCTTGTCTGTTGAGAGAAAATGAATACATAATTATTATATTATTATATTTATTTTACACTTTCATGGCCTAAAAGATAAATTTAAATTATTTCAATGGGAGAGGCGGTATTCCCCGGCATTGGCACAATCGGGGTCACCGGGGTCAAGGACTCAGATTTAAGAAACGGCGTTCAATATTTATTATAATTATCATAATGGTATAGCGTCTGCATACCGCCACGGTTCTTCCCAGTGGTTTTCATGTGCAACACACGAGCTAATTAGACGAGCACCTACCGATTACATTGAGCAGTTCAGGCAGACACCTCGCCGGCGGCGGCCACCACAGCACGTCGAGCCACAGCCGCGGACACGCCTGGCCCCTGCGCCTGCACACGGCCAAGGCGCTCTCCGCATCGTCGTGGCGCATGTAAAGGGCGACTTGTGCGCGCCATCTAGCGGGTAAAATGTCAATTTACGTTTTTGTCGCGCACATGACGACCTCGTTGACTCAACGGTTTGCACAACGGTTCGATTCTCGGTTGGATCAATATGGAAAATGAACTTTGCTAAATTGGTTTGATCTGGGTGTTCTGGCTACCCAGACTACTCCCGTCCGGTACTGTCCCGGAGTGAAATCCGTTGCTCTCGTATTCACAGTACACGGAATTTCCTAAACTGAGACCAAGCAATTGGTGTGGTTGTTATGATATTATTATATACGATTTCTACGTTCGTCGCGTTGACCACAACATTATAGTTGTGTTATACAACAAGCCGTCGCCCAAATGCCAAATAACTGTTTTAACGTAACGTTATTAAGTTTTTACTACATATTCACTGGTCCTATACATTCTTTGGTATAGATCTGGCACTCGGCGATGTACTTTAATTTTTTAATTAAATACATGATTCACACTTTATTTGACGTAGTACGTCACCAACTATCCACCGCTACACTACATAAAGGAAAGATTTGCCACCGTGACACATGCATTCTATACTAATATACTTTTACCATTTTCTTTGCAAGTCTTTCTCTGCGTACTACCACTACAATTTATATATGGAGTAATGTGGCCCATACATTTTGATCCTTCGAGCCCGATGGTGGCCCAAACATTCACTCTAGTCTTGAATAGTCCAATTAATACGAGTATGACGGTTTTTGTCGAGTATGGCTAAAAAATAGTTTAATTAGACAAACCGTTGCCGATGTAATGAAATGATATATAGGCGGCGACAATCGCGCTAGTCAATTTATTTTTCTAAATTACGTCACGCATGACCACAGTATTGTGAATAAAATTAACTCACAGCTTATTCTCCTCATACAGATAAAGAATGCCAGCGTGGAAGCCCAGCATCTGGCAGATGACGAGTGTCTGGTCCTTGTCGTAGTTGGCTTCGGGATCGCGGAGGATCTTCAGAACCCTCTGCTCATACTCAGCCTTTACGCTGTCATCGGACTTCGCCCTGATTGAAAGACAAATCAATTATTAAAAGTATTTTATTGAATGTCAGGATGTTTTTCCATTATGATATTCAATATGTTTTTGTAAAATTACTCCACTAGTTTGTTCTAATTATTAATACAAAGATCGAACACTTAGAAAAAATTCCTTCGATGCGGTAGGTTTCGAACCGACGTCTTCTAGCAAACCGTGTCAGACGATATGCCAACTAAGCCACGGAACGAACCAGCGAACCTCACTAATTTTTCTAGGTGCTTGTTTGTTCGATCTTTGTATCTGGTTTTTAATGACTCTTTAGTATTTAAAGTATTTCGTCACCCAGTTAGGCACCTTTACAGCTACTAGCCCTGGCTAGATACGAAACGATACTATGTATATTATTCAGTCAGTTTTACGATGAAAGTAATGTCAAAATTCGATACGAAAGCTGTCGGAACTTATGAATATAATGAAGGACTTATGTCAAATCACGTTCTTCTTACGCGTTCCGTGGCAGCCTCCGGTCCGATAGGAAGCTAATACGATGACCATTGCTTCGTATTTCGCGTTTGGTGGTCTACCACGAAATACGAATACCGAACTCTTAGATATTTTAACCGAATCGTTCGATTGGATATCGTTCTCGAAATGAAGGGCGCAGAACATTCGGGTTAAACGTTCGATTCGGATACGCATACGACATGTTATCCAACAGCGTTTACGAAGTTAGTCGGTGAAATAGATTATAAGAAAAAAGAAAATCCTTTTGTATACATTTTTAAGACTTTAAAGACTTCAAATAAATTAATAAAATTGAACGAAATCTAGACTTTATTTAAAACAGCAAGAGATTTCCATATTACATTCTTGCTTTGTAAACAATAGGACGTTCGGTGACTTTCATACAATAACTGTGTTCTGAATAATGTTTCTAGCCTTTGCCGGTCGAGAAAGTCGAGTAATAATACGGGTGTGACGTCACTTCGGTTCCGTTTCGAATACGACGGTTTGATCTTCGATTCGGATGTAGTGAATAAAAATGAAAAGAAATCAAGAATCGGTCGACAACTCAGTTATCGTAAGGTTCTGAATCGACCCCCCGGTCTCGGGAACTAGGGAATTCTCTGTACTATGAGTACGAGAGCAACGGAGTTCACTCTGGGGCACTTCTCAGAACAACCCAAGCAGAACCAATTTAGAAAATTTCAGTTCCCAAATTGAACGTACCGGGACTCGAACCCGGGACCTTCACATTCAACGTCCACAGCGCAGTCGTCAAATACGCATGTATAAAAATAAGCTAGTAAAATTTAGATAAGAAAAACTCCTGGATCAGGCAGGACCAGCTATTTTTTCTATTTTTTCACCAAACCGGGGTTATCACTCTCCCTTTTATTTTATTTTATTTTTTATATTATTACTAATGATACAAGCTACAAGCTGCAAGAGCTACACTGCCGTCCACTGCGACTAAGTGACAAATGGTCAAATAGCAAAAAATAGAGCACAAAATTCTCTTTTCAAAACAGTTAAAATCAGTTAACGTGTTCCACTTATCGGAAGTTACCCTAACGATGCATAGCTGAAATATCATCAAACAATTTCAATATTCTAAAACTGGGTTAAGGTTTTTAATGATATCTCAAAAAAATATTTTGTCACTTAGCCTACTTTTAGTTAGCGGACGACAGTAAACGGGTCACTACCACGTTTTTGTCATCCAAATACGTAGAAGCCTTTAGTCTAAAGTTTTTGTTTCACTACAGGTTTAAACATCCAACCGGAATCTTATTACGGAATCCAAAACTAAAGAAACCCAAAGACAAAAAATCTAAGGGAGGCATTTAGAGATCGTTAATTAAATGAATAACTCACCACACATGAATATAATGCTCGATGAGAGCATTATAGATGAGCTTCGAGCATCTGTTATCGCTGTTGATCATGTGTTCTAAGAATTCGATGAGACGTTCCGAGTTGTTGAGGAACATGTGGACGTAGTCGTCGGGCAAAGCATGCTCAGGCTCGCGCGTAGTGACAGCGCCCGACAGGGACGCCTCGTCCACCAGCAGACTGCCACGGGGTTTGTAGTCCGTGCACAGAACTGGAGGCAAACGTACAACTTTTTTATACCAACCATCGAATATCACAGAACACATCGCACCCTTACAGTACCGACACGCTATTATGGCCGTTTTGACAGATTACAATAGTGAGGTGAAATCTTAATTCATTATCGAAAAAAATATAGTCAAATGCGAGTCGCATCTATAAGTTTTTACACTTATAACTAGTATTGCAAGAGGTAGCTGATTAAAGTTTTAATAAAACTAAAATAAAAATGTTAACTTAATATATCGTCAATTCGAAACTGCTTTGTTTTGCATTGAGCTTTGACGCGAGTTTGCCGGAGGTAGAAGTTGTGTTGGGCAGTGATCCCATAAGTGACGATCGTATTAGATTTCATTTTTAAAAGTATCGAATTTCGAAAAACAAATGCCGAGTTGTGTCGTAAAATTATACAT